TCTAATTTATGTATAGATTCAATACTAGAAATTTGGAAAGTAATAAAAAGAAAAGCTAATATGGAGAATAAAATCTCAAACAATCTTAAAGTGGAATTACTTCCATATTATGTTAAAGATTTAAATATAAGAAGTTGGATCCAAAAAGGCATTATCCAAATAGACAATCTGCACTATATTGAAAAAATACAATCCTTCCCACAATTAATACAAGAATTTCAATTGCCAAACAAGGAACTATTCACATTTTTGAGAGTAAAAAATTACTTAACCCAAAACATTATAAGACACCCCCAGGAAGGAACTAAATTGATCTGTTCACTTCTAAATTACAAAAAAAAAATAGAGAAAGTTTCCTCTAGGGCAATGAATGCTATATTGAAATTGAAAGCTCCTCAGGTTATTATTGCAACACAAAAGTGGGAGAAAGACTTAAATATTACAATAAACAAAGAATTGTGGTGTGCAATATTACTCCGTGCTGGTGAAATTATACACTGTCTGAACTTACTTAAAACTCTGTTTAAAGTCATCAACAGATGGTATCTTGTCCCCACAAGACTTGCTAGTATGTATAGTCCAAGTTCACCGGCATGCTGGAGATGCAAGAGGCACTTGGGTTCCTTTTTGCATATCTGGTGGGATTGTGAGAATATTTGATTTTTTTGAGGTTTTTATTAGGTATGTCCATTCCAAAGCTCCCTGAGAATGCTTTACTTCATCTTAACATCGAATCTTTACAACAGAAGGAGAAGGTTATTTATATTAATTTCATGATAGCGGCCAAAATAATTATAGCACGCAACTGGAAGAGTTCTTCTTTATTTTCCTTGGACAGACTGATATTCCAAGTTAAGTTTCAACTTGGAATGGAAGCTCAGTTGGATAGGGCTCAAGGTAGAGATCCAAAGAAAGTACACAATGCCTTCTGGTTGGAGAAACTGAAAGGAGAGGGTTAGACAGAGCCTGAGTGAACAGGTATGCAGGAGTTAATCGCTTTTCGAGGGATTCTCCTGTATACAGTTTAAAAATGGCCACGGAACAATTGAGTATAAAAAAATGGGCTTTCCCAGTAATCCCGCCGGCATGGGAATTGGTATGTGGTTCGCTGGGCACTATGTTGTATTTGTAAGAGGAGACTTTAGTGTACTGTATGTAATTTTATAGGATCTAAAATTGAATTACTCCTCTAGAATGACTAAGAAATATCAGGGTCAATCTCAGCGAACAATGTCTGTATTGTATTGTATTGTATTTATGTATTTTTGTATAATAATTTATTATGAAGATATTTTGAATGTATATGTTTATTTGTCTTGTTGCTATGATATGATAAAACAATAAAAATTGTAAGGAAAAAAAAAAAGATGGTACTAAAACCAGAAGGATTTAATAACATTAATAAGAAAGGGGGAGTAACTACAGAATAAAAAGGTGTCAAAAGCAGGACCTTGTGATTAGTAGGGAGTAGGTGGGACCTGAGCAGTAGACACTATGACAATATCATGGAGGCCAAGGTTGTAGAGGGTTTAAAGAAGGAGAACGTGGTCAACCGTGTCAAAAGCAGCAGAGAAGTCAGAATTAAGTCCTTTTGATTTGGCAGATATTAAGGCATTAGTCACTTTAGTAAGGGCAGTTTCAGTAGAATGGAGAGCGCGGCAGTCAGATGGAAGAGGTCCAAGTAGAGAATTAGTAATAAGAAAGTGAGTCACACAAGTATACACGTGCTCTAGAGATGCTCAGAAGTGAAAGGGGAGTAGTGATAGAAGACAGTGGTTAGAAGGAGAAGTAGGGTCAATAGATTGCTTTTTTAGAATGGAATTGTCAATTACATGTTTGAGGGAGAGATTAAAAATATGAGTTAGGAGAAAGGGATTGGGTAAGGTTAGAAGGTAAGAGATCAAGGGAACAGGCGGCGAGGCAAGAGGATAGATATGTAGAGACCTCCTGTGCAAAGACAGGGGCAAAAGAAGGATAATAATAAAAGCTCTGAAATGGGCAAAAGCTTAGATAAACTCAATAACCTGCCCTTCCGTAATCCCCGAATAGGTTTAATGCTTGTTTTGCTCATTTGTGCCATTCCTGAGTGAATCTATACCTTTGCATATCAGACCGATTAACCAATAAGGACAGTCCAGAACTAAAATACCAGCAAGTACTCTCTGTACGAGAGATACAACAATCCTGGACGATTGTTTCAGTTTATGGTAATGGTAGAGAAAGTCAAATACCATATTTATCGGCGTATAACACGCATTTTTTCTCCCTGAAAATAGGGGGCAAATTATGGGTACGTGTTATACGCCGGCCCTTTAAATACTGCAGCCGCCTGAGCGCTCTGTCAAGAGCGCTCAGGCGGTTGCAGTTGGTTCTCACCTCCCCTCCCCTGTAGCGTGGCCGAGCTGCTCTGCTGTCCGTGGTGGCCGGCCGGAGTGATAGGAAGGTGCACGCTACAGGAACAGGAGTGATAGGAAGGTGCACGGTACAGGAAACAGAAACTCCTGTTCCGCGCGGAACAGGAGTTTCTGTTTCCTGTACCCGGTCGGACTGACAGGAAGGTGCACACTGAGCGTGCACCTTCCTATCACTCCGGCCGGCCACCACGGACAGCAGAGCAGCTCGGCCACGCTACAGGGGAGGGGGTAAGAAGGGGGTAAATAGAGGGGGAGGGGGGTAAGAAGAGGGGGTAAATAGAGGGGAGGGTAGAAGAGGGAGGGGAAGTAAGAAAGGGGCTAAGAAGAGGGGAAGGGAGGTAGGGGGAGGGGGGAGTAAGAAAGGGAGGTAAGAAGAGGGGGAGGGGGAGTAAGAAGGGGGTAAGAAGTTCTTTATTTGAAATTTAAGTTTTTTTTTTTCTGAAATTTCTTTCTTAAAATGAGGTGCGTGTTATACGCCGGTGCGTGTTATACGCCGATAAATACGGTATGTTTGAATGTGGTAAGGAAAATAAGATATTTTGTTTTTTACTTCCTGTTCAAGCAGGAACATTGATTCAAAATATACAAGTCATCTGATTTCTCCCAACCAATTAGCTAAGCCCTGTACCACCAGTCCTAGCTCAGACAGGCGCTTCCAGCTCTGCGTTGGACGTAGTGGAGGGGGGGAGCCTGGGGGATCCAAGGGTAGAAAATAGCTTGACTACTTAGCCTCTCGCATTCCGGTCACCATAGCCACTATAGTGGTTGGGGTATTTGGAGTGTTCCTTTAAAAGGATACTCTGGCTGCTGTTGGATTAGTTTTGGACTTATATTCATACTGCATTGTTTACCTGTTTATGTATCTGTAGTTGTTCTCCTTAGCTTTACTAAAGAATGAAATGGGCATCTCTATTGAAAGTACCATAGCTTGGAAGTAATTCGGCCTTTATTTAACTTGTTGAACAATGATTCTTGTGGATGGAATAAGTGTTTAAGTCCATATTCTGTGCTTTATTTTTTATGTATCTCATAACATATAGATGTATTTTAATACTTGCTTATGCATGCCAATCTTCTGCTCATGGAAAAATAGTAATATAAAAAAAATGTGGAAGTCCTAACGTCTCTCATATCAAAAATAACAATGCAAAAAAAAAAACCAAAAAGTTCTGCATCAATCTGTAAAAAAAACAAAAACAAAAACAAACTGCATTGATTGTGATATGGAAGTACAGCCTTTGTCAGTAACAGGAGGTTAACGTAAGCCCTTGCATTTTATTTTTTAGGAGAATTTTGTTCTCCATAATAGATGTGGAGAACACTGTATTGTATTTTGGTGAGTGACCATCATTTGTTGTTTTTGGGGTTTTTTTGCTAGTACAATGGGCACAGTTTATCCCTGGATAGTAGGCGCTCCCAGGGCTGCATTATCCATATGGTGGCAGAAGCGGTCATTTAGGGCTTAGGGTCAGACAGGTGCCGGGGGAGGGACTGTCTGGGTCTAGAGCTCTGGCTCTGGCTGTGAGGTAAGAGTGCATTGTTGTCGTTCTACTTCAGCCAGCATGGAGATCTTTTTAAACTGTGCCCTGTGACCCCTCACCTGCTAGAGGGAGCCTTGTGATCTGCACCTTTGTCAGGTGTAGAGAACTTTAAGTAAGTGCTACCTCCTGATCCCTCAGAGCTTCTCACTGACTCAAAGCACCACAGCCAGCGCTGTAAGTCATTAACTGAGCCCAGGCCAATAGGAAGCTCTTAAATCGCTCTTTCCACCCAATATTGGTGCAGACAACAATACTACCCTACTGGACCACCAGTGTGCCCCCACCAAATCACCAGGGAAGGTAAGCAGGAGGAGGCCCCAGTCTGGCATTATGCCTAGGCCTTAAACAACCCCTATGGAGTTTATATTTGGGGGTGGATGGTTCTACACTGGCTATATATCATGTGGTCCTGATGACCTCTATATTTATGAGTCCCTCACAAATTCAACATATTTTATAATATACTGTTTACATATTCCTAGTGGAAATACAAAAGCATACATCTGTTTATTTTATGGAGAAGTCAAGGAAGAAATGAAACCTTAGGGAACCTTTTTTCTCTTTAAAAAAAAAAGTGAGTTTTATATTCTAAAAGAATATTGGAATGGACTGAACTTTCTATCGCATTACATGTTGTACAGATTTACAATAAATAGTATCATTTATCTGGGGAAAGCAAGTTTATTATTGGGCAATTACTCATTAATAATAACCAACGTTCTGATTCCCATAGATGGTAACAAATTACGGTATGTACCCATTATATTTTATTATTCTGCCACATAAATGCTATTGTTGTGTGTGTTGGTTATCAGTAATTCTAGAAATGAATAGATCGTATTCTTCGTTAGTTTTAGAACATTTTGGTAACAGAGGACAGGAATCTCCACAGGTCCATAGCGGTGAATAGATAAAGTTTATACACTAAAATCACGTTTGCCTGTTTCAAGACAAGACAGGCTGGTTACATGCTTATTCCCATCCCTTTCAGGGAGGAGTTTACTTTCTAAATTAACAAATCCTTTTGACACTTTTCTTCCTGTTTGTACGATAAATGGGTGTATATGAGAACTGCATTCACATCCCTGTTACAGTATCACTTAATCACTTGGTCTTTTCTCCTGGATGTACAGGCTGGATCTAAAACAGGGCTTCCTGATTCTTAGCTAACCGTCCTGTGCAGGTAAAAACGAGAAAAACTGTGATTTCAGTATTCTGCATAGACTTTGATCTCCATATTCCTCGTGTATGCTCAGCAGTGAAGGAATCTACAGACAGATATTAGAACAACGACTGATACAACCATTGATCTGCGTTTACCGATGAGTCTATTTAACCTGGCCTACCTGGATCCTGTCTTAAGGTAAAGTGTCATCTGTACGTTTATTTATTAGCTGATTTTCCAAAATGCTGACTGCAGGGACTTTTAATACTACAACCTGACAGGTGAATTATATTTATAGAACGCAAGTTAGCACTTTATTTAAGTATGCCTCTCGTTACCTGCCAGAAAGCACAGAGTCTCTCAGAGATTATATGTTCAAGAGCAGCGGAAGGCAACTTTCAGCATGCCAGATGCTGTGAACTATATTTCCTGTGATGCTTTGCCAGCATTTTGGCTCTAACAGCATAATGGGAGAGGTAGTCCACAACATCTGGAGTGCCGATGGTTGCCTACGCCTGCACTAGACCATCACTGGAACTGTGGCTGGGAATGGTTGGTAAAATGCAGTTGGATTTTTTATTTTTTTTTTGGATAGTGTAGTTTGGGATGTTACCCTCGAGATAAAAGATGGGTGACCATTGGCTGTCAATTAAAAAATCTGCTTTGGCATCACTTATCTGGGTTTCAAGGGGTAATAACTAATGGTAAAACATGGGTTGGCATAGCACAGCCACAGCAGTGAGCACGTTCGCTGAACATGGTCATGGGCTGTGAACAGATTTTGTAGTCAATGTTTGCGAAATTTTAATAATATGGTTAATTAAGCCTTAGCGTTCCATCAGGGTGAATACTGTATTGCTGCATGGCATGGGGGGCTGTGGGAGTAAGGACAGATATTAAGAGTCACCCCCTAATAATGTAGTGTTTTAGATGGATATATAGACAGAAAGATAGTTAGTCTCCTTCTTTCTCCCCCTTTGTAGAGGAGACTTTAGATATTATAACTTGGTGTCCACACTCACTAATGCAACAGACATCTCTGGAAGAAGAAAAATGAAAAATCAGAAGCAAATCCATCCATCTTCCATACAGAATATTATCAGTTGAAGACATTAAATGGCAATCTTATCGCTTATTTTTATGGGACACTGAGAGATCTTTAACCCCTTAAGGACACATGATTCCCTTTTATTCCAGAAGTTTGGTCCTTAAGGGGTTAAAGGAACTCTTTATGTGTTCTTTTATAACTTCAGATTAATCAGTCTCCCTTTCAAAAATGTAATGGGGGAAAAAACTCCTTAAATGTACCTGTAATCCAGCACTGAGACAAACTCCTCACTGTGGCTGTTTCTCCCTCGCTGGAGTTATCAAGATTAATTTATGTCCAATCAAATGATTTTCAGAGAACATACAGCTCATGTGCAGAAATCTCTACAATCGATCCAATGCGTCTCATAGAGAATCATCGGACTGACACTGAGCGCCTGGTGCGTCTGGTACTTTGCATGCTGATTTGTAGATTATTTTGTAATCTATTTTATAATGAAACTCCTAGTGGCTGTCTCTCTGACAGCCACTACAGGAATGGTGATTACAGAATGTAAACATTGCGTTCTCTGCATTAAGATTAAGAGGTTTTGGTGCTTAGAGTGTCAATATAACTTACTGTAAATAAATTAAAATCTGGAGAGATTAGTACAATATGGGAGAGGGGGTAGCAGTGGAGCCAGGCTCCCAAGATATTTGTCCGTGGAATGGGGCCACTGATGCTTGCAGAGCTACTTCTAAATCATATTACTGAGCTGTGGGCCAAAGTTACAGTACAGCAGTATCCTTGTGAATGGCAATACCAGATAACAATTGATTGCATCATGGGTCCCATCATGCTTGGTGTTCACTTTTTTAAAGGTAAAAATTAGAAATTAGAAGCACAAGAACATCAGTGGAAATTGCTGATTGTCACATTACCTAACGGCTTAGTAAAAACACCTTAAAACAGCCCACTGTGGTGATTATGATGTGAGGAGTAGTAAAGCTGACTGTGACGTTCACCGTGCTTCTGCGGATCCAGATACTGATCCTGCTGGCCGTTCATTGGCTGACTGCTTTCAGCCAGTAATTGCGGCTCTGCGCACAGGAAAATGCGTAGAATTTACATTAGTTCACTCAAAACGCTAGTGCCAGTGACGCAGCCAGAGATGGAGATATATGTCCGGCAGCAGAAGGGTTTCTCTTCGTATGTGCAGCTTTTCATATCAAAACGTGGCACATACAGACTCCAGACACCATGACCACTTCAAATCACCGAAATGATCATGGTGCTTGGAGTATCCCTCATAATAATGTTTAGCCATTCTTTTACTCTACTGTTCGCTAGTATGTAGCCAAATAGATTCTAAGAAAGAGGTTTTGTAATAAACTCTATTTGTTATTTATATAAGCATATAGTTGCACCTTCTCATGGCTAGAATTGAGCAATCTCCATGCATAGTAATGTACAGATCACTTGGCAGGTACATTATTTTATTTCACTCCCTGATTACCCAATCTACGACAGGTTTCATGTGATTGCTAAGGAGGAGGGGCGCTCTGCTGTTAATCTTTGTTGTAGCCGTTGTTTCAGTTCAGTCTCTTCAAATATTACTTTGTTTCCACATGTTTTCCCACAATGCACAGCAAAAGGTGTGTATTAGTAGCTGTAAAAATAGTCCATTTATATTATTACATTCACTACCTGAAGGCATACAGAGCAGCTGCATTGCAGAATGACACCATACAAGATACACGTCGCTAGATTCCCATAAATGCTGTCATATCAAAGTTATAAAAGAGTCAATTTGTTTAATAAAGATGTAGGATATTCTTCTTACATTCAAATATGTTTTTTTTTAAATAGGATATTTTCAAAGCTTACAAAATACGTTTAGAATGGACAAAATAAACCTTGAGAAAATATAAAAATACACACAGTCATACAAAGGTTTACATATAATACTATGAAATATCTTTCTATCATCTTGCCAGATTGTAAACAGTCTTGATAGATAAATACATAAACCCTTACAAACCCTAGACGTAGAAAATTCGATACATCAGAAGAGACAATATATGGGAAAGAAATACAAAAACCCCCCCAAAATTTAAAGGATCACTATAGGGTCAGGAACACAAACATGTATTCCTAACCCTATAGTGCTAAACCCACCATATAGGTGGCTTGCCCCCCCATTTAGCCTCCCTATAAAAGTTTTAAACGCAATTTATTTCCAGAGCTGCGCGGGTCTGCCAGCGCTGGCTCCACCCCATTTGTTACATCATCAAAATGGCCAATAGGAAAGCATCACTACTTCTGATGATGTCAGCCAAGGAGGCAGATCAGGAGCAAAGCCAATAGCACTAGACTGGAATAAAGGTAAGATTTTACTATATTTAGGGAGGCTAGATGGTGTTTGTAACACTATATGGTCAGGAATACATGTTTGTGTTCTTGGCCCTATAGTGTTCCTTTAATATATAATAGATTGTTTAAGATAGGATCTTCAAATATTAATTTGGATCTTAGAAAATCTGCTATTCTTAGAAAGGTATAATATTCTTTTGAAAGCAGTTTAAATTTATTTTATAATAGGCAAAATAAACTTATATTATTATTATCGATCAAATCTTTCCAAGTTCTCAGATATTAAAGTCAACAAGATAAAATGCAATTATTATATGTGTATCAACAAATCCTTATTCTTAAAAATGTTGTTTATTAATCATAATATAAAGTAATAGGTATCAGAAATAATCTTATTAGTATTCATTTTTTTATATTTTTCCGGTTTAACCCCTTAAGGACAGATGACATGTGTGACATGTCATGATTCCCTTTTATTCCAGAAGTTTGGTCCTTAAGGGGTTAAACCAATATATCATATAATGGCTCAACATTATTAAATAGATACCATAAAAGGGGGGGGGAGGGTTTCTTTGTTCATATTCCAGGCCAAATAATGAGTAAACATAATTGCATCAGCTACTTCCATAATATTTGAAAAATACACACTGCCCTCATCAAATGTTTGTCTGACAGAAAGATCAAATTGTAATGGAGATAATGGCCATCCTTGGCGAGTTCCATTACTTATTTTAAACCGATCCGAATTTGCTCCATATCCCGTAACTATGGCTGAAGAACTTGTATACAGGGTTTAAATGAGTTTTTTGAATAGACCAGTTATTCCAAAAAGCTCCAGAACCGCGTCGAAATATCTCCAATCAACACAATCAAATGCCTTTTCTGCATCTTAGGCTGTAAAGGCTCTGCCGATCTTTAAATAATAAAAACTACTTGATTTTGTTGTAGTTGCTGTTAGTGCTGTATCTAGCGCAAGGCTGACAAGGCACTTGCCTTGGGCACCACTTTCAGGGGGGCGGCAAAATAAGCCACCCCCCATGCCCTGGCAAATGCCTTGCCAGCCTCTTGTCCTGGGGGTCCAAGAGCTGGCCACCTCAGGGCCCCCCTGAGGCTGGCATGCGCTAATGTTTCATGCGGGCGGCGAGGGAGCACTCTTCCCTAAACTCTACCTGCTCAACTCCCTTGCGCGCACCGCAGTGATGTCGGAGCCGGAATATAACGTCACTCGGGCCCAGGGATCACTAAAAGGCGCACAAGGGTGCTGAGCGGGGAGATCAGAGCTCCCTTGCCGCCCGCCTCCACTGCTCACCTGTCTGCAAGATCTCCTGACCGCCCGCCAACTTGCAGCCAGCCCCACTGTACTATAGGGAAAAATAAACTCCAGAACTCCAAAAGGTAGGAGGCTGGGTGGATTGAAATATAATTTTTGTGTGTGTTAGTGTATGTGTTTGTGAGTATTAGTGTGTGTCTGTTAGTGAGCGTGTGTCTGTTAATATGTGTGTGTGTTTGTTAGTGAGTGTTAGTGTGTCTGTTAGTGAGTGTGTTATCTGTTAGTGAGTGTGTTAGTGTTTGTCTGTTAGCGATTGTTAGTGTGTCTGTTAGTGAGTGTTAGTGTGTGTCTGTTAGTGAGTGTGTTAGTGTGTGTCTATTTGTATAAGTGTGTGTCTCTTAGTGAGTGTGTGTGTCTGTAAATGTGTCTGTGAGTTTTAGTGTGTCTGTTAGTGAGTGTTAGTGTGTCTGTTAGTGTTAGTGTGTGTCTGTTAGAGTGTGTATGTGTTAGTGAGTGTGTGTCTGTCACTGAGAGTGTATATGTATTTGTCAGTGAGTGTGTATGTGTTTGTCAGTGAGAGTGTATATGTGTTTGTCAGTGAGTGTACATGTGTCTGTCGGTGAATACGTATCTGTCAGTTAGTGTATATCTGTGTCTGGCGGTGAATTGAGCATGTGTGTAACTGTGAGTGAAACTATGAATGAGTGAGTGTGTATGTCTGTGAATGTGTGTTTCAGTGAAAGTGTGTTTTGGTTAGATAATGTGTGTGACAATGACTGTGTATCTGTGAGTGTATGACAGTGCATGCATCAGTGAGGGCGTGTGTCTGTCAGGAAGCGAAATTTGGAGTGGGTGAGGGGTGGGCTTGCCTGAGTTTTGTCATGCCTAGGGCAGCACAAAACCAGAATACACCACTGACTGTTGTATCAGTTGAGTCACTTCACATACTACTCTGTTTCCACATGTTTTCCCACAATGCACAGTAAAAGATGTGTATTAGTAGCTGTAAAAATAGTCCATTTATATTATTGTAATCTCTACCTAAAGGCATACAGAGCAGCTGCCTTGCAGAATGACACAGTACAAGATACACCTCTGTAAATTCCCATAAATGCTGTCATATTATAAGCTATAAGTGAGTCCTCTAGATTAACAAAGATATAGGAATTTTATTTGAACATACTTGCCAATAGTCCAGAATCTAGCAGATCAGTCCTGATTTTGGACACCTGTGCACAGTACTAGTTATTGAACAATATACACCTTGTTCCAAATTATTATGCAAATTATATTTTTCTTATTTACCTAAATAATTGATGTATTATTTACATCAATTATTTAGGTAAATAAGAAAAATATCATTTGCATAATAATTTGTCAGCATAATTCTCATGTTATCAACTATTAAGAGTACAATTCAAATTTTATTGAACAAACCTCCTAACGATAACAGTATTTTTTTAAACATAAAAAACATACAATGCACTGTTCTAAATTATTACACACAGTAAGTTTCAAAACACTTTATAGGTTGTAATGAACTGAAAATTGTCATTTGTTGTGTTTGCAGCATATTTACTGAAATCAAAAGCTATTTCAATCAAACTTATAACAACATTTTTAACTTTTTAAACATTTTAACAGGTCACGTTGCATTTTAACATAGGACCCCTTATTTGATAGCAGCTTCACAACTCTTGCATCCATTGAACTTGTGAGTTTTTGGACAGTTTCTGCTTGAATTTGTTTGCAAGATGTCAGAATAGCCTCCCAGAGCTGCTGTTTGGATGTAAACTGCCTCCACCCTCATAGATCTTTTGCTTGAGGATGCTCCAAAGGTTCTCAATAGGATTGAGGTCAGGGGAGGATGGAGGCCACACCATGACTTTCTCTCCTTTTATTCCCATAGCAGCCATTGATGCAGAGGTGTTCTTTGCAGCATGAGATGGTGCATTGTCATGCATGAAGATGATTTTATTACAGAAAGCATAGTTCTTCCTTCTGTACCAGGGAAGAAAGTGGTCAGTCATAAACTCCACATACTTTGCAGAGGTCATCTTTACACCTTCGGGGACCCTAAAGCTCTCTTCCCATGATTCCGGCCCAAAACATGACCACCACCGCCTTGCTGATGTCACAGCTTGTTGGAACAGGGTGGCCGCCCACCAACCATCCACTACTCAATCCATCTGCACCATTCAGGGTTGCACGGCACTCATCAGTGAACAGGACTGTTTGAAAATTAGTCTTCGTGTATTTTTCTGCTCAATGCAGCCGTTTCTGCTTGTGAGCATTGGTTAGCGGTGGCCAAGTAGAAGGTTTATGCACAGTTGCAAGACTCTGGAGGACTCTACACCTTGATGTCCGTGGGACTCCAGAGGCACCAGCAGATTCAAATATATATTTGCTGCTATGTAATGGTATTTTAGCAGCTGTTCTCTTGTTCCGATGCATGGATCTGGCAGAAATCTTCCTCAATGTGCCTTTATCTGCATGAACCCGTCTGTGCTCTGAATCAGCCACAAATCTCTTAATATTGTGATGATCACGCTTAAGTTTTTGTGAAATATCTAATGTTTTCATACCTCGTCCAAGGCATTGAACTATTTCACTCTTTTCGGCAGCAGATAGATCTTTTTCTTCCCCATATTGCATGAAAATGGTGCTCTGCTTAATAATGTGGAACACCCTCCTTTAGTAGTTTTTCCTTAAATTGGGCTCAATTGGCAATCTAATTATCACAGGTGTCTGAGATTGTTTTCAGTGATCAAAGAAGCCCTGAGACACAATGCCATCCATGAGTTAAACTGAAAAACAAAATATTTAATCTTTGTGACACAAATAGAATTTGCATAATAATTTGGAACAGGGTGTACTAATTTATAAAATTAAGTACTTTTTTAGCACTATTGACCAGGTATATACAGAGATTATTTTTCTTCAAAAACTTTAACTAGCCAAATTCAGGCAAACAAAGCCTTGATGACTTACGCAGGATAGCTGGAGGACAGTTAGACTCACATTAAATCATGCAAAGGCACAGCTGGCACACCCGTGTACACGCCTGTACCAGTGATGTATAATGCATCACTTCACTTATCCTGTTTAATGTTGGAATCTATACACGAGTTCCCACAGAATTTCAATGACTGAGTTTCCTGACTGACTATTGTAAATGTGCAAATTGTGTTTGGTTTTTGTTTGTTTTTTGGCATTCTTTATTTTTGTAGTGCAGTGATTGACAAACACACTTGTAATGACATATCTACAAGTTGAAATAAGACATGAAAATTTACATTTTCCATACAGGGCATGTCAAGAGTTTATAGAAAGAAAACTATAGCTTAGGTTAGCTAAGCTGCCACGTCTGGAGAATACGAGTAGGTATGAGTACTGTTAAACATGTTATGAAATAAAAAAAAAGGTAGGCTATAACAAGAGGAAGAAAACAAGGAGCAAATAAAAACACAGGAATCAACCGCATGGTAGATAAACCGGGATGAAGCTTATGTTGTCAGTTTCGCATCAGTGAACCTAGTGTACTTTCACCGATTCCTGATTTGCTGGGCTCTTGAAAGAAGATCACAGGTGTGGAGGTGAGGGTTGCATGGGAGCCCCGAAGAGAAGCCTGCATGCACAAGCCACAAATCTCTCCTGTACAGTAGCCACCATCTTGATGGGTCAAAAGAATCAGAGTTCCAGAACTCCAAGCCCTGGCTATCCCCAAACTGCTGCTCTGATTCAGGCCCTCTGGGCCCAGAGAGAGTAATAGTGCCACGTTCCTTCGGCATCCGTTGTGTAGGTAAAGGCGCTCTCTGGCCTGTCAGGTTACCAGGAGGCCTCGAGGGCAGTGTGCACTGGGGCAGGTAGATAGTTTGTGTTGGTGTGTCTGGGAAATGCAAGCAGATTGCCAGGTCACACTGCTGCCTTGCCTCTATGTTAGCCCAAAATCTTGTAAAGATGAAATTCAGCTTAATCACAGTCTCGACAAAGCCTCTAGTTGTGATCGCCGCCAACTTAGAAGCCACTCGGCACCCCTGCACACAACAGCTCTAGGTGCCAAGAGTAGCTGTGGGTGATCTCTTGGGACTGGGATGCCCTCCACCAGTCCAAGGGGGGGGGGTGGGGGGAAGGAAGTGCAGAAGTCCTCTCAGTATAACAAAATGCAGCTTCTGGAGAGCGGCTGTCCTTCCGACACCTGTCAGGCTTGAAGGCCACAAAATGTATAGGGTACGTTTTAGGAAAGCACCGGATCTGGTACAAAATGATTCACCAGGGTCCCCACTTTGTGGTAAGTCATGTTTTGTGGTGAAAACTGCAAGATGGCAGGTATAAAAAGCTTGTTAGGCAAGCTTTGTTCAGGAGCTTGCTTAGCATGTGTCCACTCTGCCAGCCAGTCTGGCCCAGCCACGATTATTGTCTTTTTTAAAAAGGACATCCATTCATTTCTGAGAGCAGTGTTCCTCTAGAACGAGCTGTATGTAACAAAAGGATATATAGTGTAGCAATGCGCCATTCAACTGGTACAAGGGCGCGGTATATAGGGCACTGGGAGAAAACCCTTTTCATGTCCAGTAAGTACAAACCTTTGTATAGATAAGTTTCTGGGTATGAAATAAAATTATTTTAGTGCATTGCATAGTCAGTGAATTTAATTATGCAAAACAAACAATCAAAATATAAAAAGATACTTTACTTTAAAGTGCCTTTGTTTTTATTAAGGTAGGCGCACATGATACAAAGTACGCATGTCAAGAGATGCCATAGAATTATATGTGATTTTTCCCGTGTGCTAGATAAAAATAGAAAAAACAGAACAGAACACCAAGATTTTGAGTAATGTTAAATAAAATATTATTAGATTAAATAATGTGTCAGGCGTTGCTTCATAAGGGGAAAGCTCCAACCAGCAAGCAATAAGCTAGTCTGTCAAGAGACAAACTGTATGTAACCAAAAAGAGCAGATATGGCCTCCATGGAGAGTGTATGTTGCGGGGGGGTTACATCACAAGAACATTGGTGACAAGAGAATGACAGATAAGAAAGCTATAAATTGAAATAAAATAAATAAAAAGAGGAATTCTCTATAGTCATATTAGTCATAAAGAAACACTGAATATGTACTAGAAACTAGTAGAGGCAAACTAGATATATTCTGGTCAGTCCCTTCCATGTGCTTTGGAGTAAATGGAACATCTCTATCATTGTCCCAATGATAAGCATTTTTGGAGGACACCTGGAGTTTTAGTGGGTCACCCAGGCCTACAAGACTCGTGCCAGGTAAGTGTGGCTTAACAAAGATCCTCTAAAAAGGAGTGTCACAGGAGTTGTATCCCAACGCGCACGAAAGAGGAAACCCACAAAAGGTGGATCCAAAAGGCGTATTACCGATCCTTAGACTTAATGTATTAATATAACGAGAATCAAGGTCAAGGATACAGAAATACACAAAGTCAAGACAAGGCCGGGTCAGGATACCAGAAAATACAAGTCAAATACGAAGCTGAGGTTAGGATACCAGAAATTACAAGGCCAATACGAAGCTGGGTCCGGATACCAGAAATCACAAGGTCAATACGAAGTCGAGGTCAAACACAGAAAATCACTAGGGAATCACTAGGAGCGCAAAGCAATGAATCACACACACAAAGGGCAATGAATGGGGGCTAAAACAAGCCTTAAATAAGCTTACCTATTTTTCTGATAGGTCCACAGCGACCCAAAATAGATTAGGATCGCAATGATGACGTGGTCACTTTAAGAGTGGGCGTGATTTCATGTCTATATTTATAGACGTCCTACATCACGGCAGGAGGAGGTCTTCGTGTCTCGATGGAGGTAAGTAATGCCACACTAATACTTACAGCTAGGGTTAAAAAAATTACCTCTACATGCTTGGAAGATGTTCCAACAATCGGGTTGAGCATTAAGTCAAAATATGCCATTCAGATGTACTGCTTTGACTTGTTTAGGAGAAAGCATTGTGGAGAAGAGCCAGTGGACATATTGGGAATGCTCCATAAAATCAACAATTTCTGCAATGCTATCTTCAAATTGTGTCAAAATTGTTTATCATCTAAGAGAGATATCTTGGCCGGGCATCTTGCACCTGGTGGCATTATCAGGTAAATGGTGCAGCAGAGGAGTGAGCCTGCCAAATATGTACAAAGTCTTCCTTAAATGCTTTACTTGAAGGTGTGAATATCCTCACGGACCACTGCTAGGTGAGCTTAGAATAGGTTACGTCTCGTCAGAGGTCTTTAAATATATCAGCCTTGGTTGCAAGAGTTCATTCTTCATCCTCTAATAAGATCTCCATGTCCACTGTAGCTAGAATAGGGTCAACGATTTCCAAATCATGTTCTTCAAACAAGACAGTAGGAGTCCTGAGATGTGGAGTTGACATATTGGGCCTCTACTTCGAGCAAAATAAGTCCCCAATATCTTGGGGTTTATCTCCCTTCTCTTCTTACCTTTTGGGATATTTTCCCTATGGGTGCTGGTGATATCTAATAGCACTAGTTTGGTTGAATATTATTATTATTATTTTATTATATTTTGTAACCTTCCAAAATCGATCAGGCCAATCCTGTTCTGAACTGCATCAATTTGATGATACATAAAAGTGTCAGTTAATGCGTTAAGTGTTGATGCACCACAATAAAACCTTGAATAGATTTAATCATTTTTGGTAGACTTTTTCTCCCCTCATGTCTACAATTTGTAGGTTACAGATAAAGGCATGTACCTTTTGAGATGTCCTGTTCCAGAAGGGAATTTTTTTCCTACATCTGTTCTTGATTCAGCTGATTCAACAAAAATAAAGTAGCACACAATATACAAATAATTTGATAGGGCACTTAGAGCTCTCATAAATAGAAGGTAGTCTTTACCAAATGTAGCACTGAAGGTTTAATTCACAGTCTGCCCACAATATATCTCTGCGATCAGTCTGTATTTCCAAGGTGCAGATATTGTAATTCATTGCAATTGATTGTTGACCCATGTACAATAGTCTAGTTTATAAGTGAACACTTATTTAGAGCAAGAGTGTTGTCAAATCCATACAACAAATGTTTGTATGAGCTATTCCAAAGGATTTTACATAGTTGCTTAATCACATACTTCCGACTTGGGACTCACTCAGAAGAACCAGAACCTCTAAATACAGTATTGAGGAACATCTATAACGTTAGGAATAAAAACGTGTGTTCCTCAGGTTATAATGTTCTACTGTCCATTTAGATTCAGGGGTAAAGTCTCTCTTAATTTAATTTAATTTGAATTAAGTATTTTACTGACAAGACTCACTCCGTATAACTGCCCTCTGCGCCTCCGTTGCCATCTTCCTGAATGCTGTCTACTCTTTGTCTTCTCTTCCAATCAAATGCTACTTATAGCAAAGTATTAAATCCAATGCTTCCTTGTGATAAGCATTAGAGGTCGTCAACGTCCTCCAGAAAACAGCCACTAGAGGTGTGTTATGGTAACATAAAACCATTGACATCTGTTCAGCAGGACAATGCTTTACATTGCAGGAAGAAAATGACAGGACCTCTGCACCCAGACAACTTCATTGACCTATAGGGAAGTTATCAATAAATGTCAAGAACCAGAAAAAGATTGTATTTCGTACACCTCAAAAACTCCATACTGAATTAACCATTTTAAAATATTACTATTTCTGTACAATGTACACACTGCTAAAGGAAATCAATTCATTATGTTGAGTCTTATGGACAAAAGCTACCGTGGTAACTTCCATCTCTCCTCATTTGTATGTATTGGACACCGGCTTCTTGATATCGTTCACATGGTGCCATTTGTTTTCTAGATATCGGATTTCAATCTTGCTCTTACTTGGACATTCGACATCTGTGGCGTTTGGGTTTCCCCATTGTGCAAAGAACATACTTGAATCCAAGTCATTGAAGAGCGATAAAGAAGGTATTACAGCATCAAAATGAAAGCATAGCTGATATTTTCCAGTTGAGCTGTTTTGACCTTAAAAATTCACTTTGAATTATAAACTGGGTATGAATATTTCAGTGGAGACATTTAAGGAAGGCAATTCTTGAATATTTGTATTTTGAAACATACTGTCATTTAGCAGAGAGAGAGAAAGCATTCAGGGCACTCCGTGACCACAGCAAGATAATAATGAAAATGGTAAAGTGTAACTATAATAGTTTAGTGGATTTAGACAATCTATTCCAGAGGAATTATCTAGATTGTTAATTATGCTATTGTAATTCACTAATGTATGAATTGCCTGGAATTACAATTATTTATACAGTGCCAACATATTCTGCGGCGATGTACAATACGTGAACAAGACTAGCAAAACACGCAAGTAAAGGACGCCCTGCCCAAATAAGCTTGCAATCTAAAATTTAATGTGAATAGGTCAACTGAAAAATTCACTTTGAATTGTGTTTAAATCCAGTTCACGAGAAAGAAAAAGGCAACGATCATGGCCAGAAAACCAATTTCAGGGTTTCTAAATGCTGAGCTTATAACGTTTAAAGTCCCAGAGGATTGTGTGATGATTGGTTACTGGGCGTAGTCACCCGTTAGTAAATAAAAACCTCTGAGCTGTGTTTCCCAACCCAGTCTTCAAGGCTCCCCAAATGGTAGATACAGAAATTGGAAAATATCTGTATCTATTGGATGCAGTGTGTGAGGGGTGCAGTGTGAGTGTGTGTGTATGTTTGAAGAGTTCAGTGTGACTGTGGGGAAGTTGTGTGTGGGTGTGTAGTGTGTGAGCATTGCAGTGTGGGTGTGTGAGGGTTGCAGTGTGTGTTTGAGGAGGACAGTGTGTGAGCGGTGCAGTGTGTGTTTGTCAGAGGGCAGTGTATGTCAGGTGGCAGTGTATGTCAGGAGTGCAGTGTGTGTGTGAGTGTTGCAGTGTGTGTGTGTGTGAGGGGGGAAATGTGTGTACGGAGGCAGTGGGGGTGTAGTGTGTGTGTGTTTGTGATGGGTGCAGTGTGTTTGTGTGTGGGGGCAATGTGTGTATGGGGGTGCAGTTTGTGTGTACGGGGGTCAATGTGTGTGAGTGAGGGGGGCAGTGTGAGTGAGGGGTACAGTGTGTGGGTAAAGGGTGCCGTGTGATTAGTGCAGTTTGTGTGTATGAGGGACATTGTTTGCGTGAGGGGTGCCGTATGTGTGTATGGGGGGGCAGTGTGTATGTATGAGGGGCATTGTTTGTGTAAGGAGTGCAGTTTGTGTTTATGGGGTGCAGTGTGTGTGTATGAGGGGCAGTGTTTGTGTGAGGGGTGCAGTATGTGTGTATGGGGGCAGTTTGTGTGTGTGTGGGGCAATGTGTGTATGGGGGCAGTGTGTGTGTATGATGGGCATTGTTTGTGTGAGGGTTGCAGTATGTGTGTATAGGTGGCAGTGTGTGTGTATGAGGGGCAGTGTTTGTGTGTGGGGGGGACAGTTTATGTGTGTGTGTGTGTGTTTGTGTGAGTGGGCAGTTTATGTGTATGGGGGGCAATGTGTGTATGGGGGGCCGTGTGTGTATGAGGGGCAGTGTTTGTGTGAGGGGTGCAGTATGTGTGTATGGGGGGGCAGTGTGTGTGTAGGAGGGGCAGTGTCTGTGTAACAGAGGCAGTATGTGTGTATGGGGGGTCAGTTGGTGTATGTATGGGGGGTCAGTTGGTGTGTGTGTGTAAGTGTTTGTGTGAGGGGACAGTTTATATGTGTGTGGAGCAATGTGTGTATGGGGGGCAGTGTTTGTGTGTGACACACATTTACACATTCTTGCACACATTCACATCATTGTATTTATCCCTGGGGTCCAGTGGGGATCTGCTATCTGGAGATCTCCTTCCTGCTCCTCACTGCTTCTTTACGCGCGCAGTTTAGTGATGCCAGGTGCCAGAATATGACGTCATATTCCGGCACCACTACAGACGGCGCGCGAGGGTGCAGGAAGACTGAGCTCATCCAGCGACCTCTCAGAGTCCCGGATGGGTAAATTTTAGCAGAGTAGGCACCTGCAATGAGGAGAAAGCAGGTGCCTACTCTGCTTTAACACTAAGCATGTACTCACAGCTCGCCGGGCTGCAAAGATGTCCATTGTGGGCCGTATGCGGCCTGTGGGCCGCTAATTTGACATGCTTGCTCTAAAGTCATACCAGCCCTAAAAGTTACTCTCCACTGTAAGCCATAGTATATTCACCAGTAGTGAAATTTCACTTGCCAATGGCTAGTGTTTTGTGGAATTATCGAGCCCCTATTTAGAAATAGCTATTTTGTTATATCATAATTATTTATATGTTTATTTTATTCACTGTCACCAAATCAGTCTTTTGGTTTCCTTTGTATAATGGTTTTGCCTACGGCTTTCTTTTAGTCTCTCTGTATGTTTTGTGAGTTAGATTGATTGCCTGTGTCACATTTATTTATTTTGTAAATGTTGATTTATTTTTTTCAGTGTTTACCAGTGAAGAAGATGCCAGCAGTTTTCTTAGACGTCGTTTACTTTACAACCAGTTTGACTTTGAAATGTTTGTCTCCGGCAATCTGGAGAGAGAATGTAACGAAGAACTGTGTAGCTATGAGGAAGCCAGGGAAATATTTAAGGATCAAGATGCAACGGTAATTTACATTTTATTTTGTTCAAACAAAAACTTTAGGGACTATAGGGTAACTTTGGCCCCCTCCCTCACCTGCCCCTCTGGCAAGTAAAGCATTAAATAACCCTTTTTTTTTTAACTTACCTGATTCTAGCACTGATATCCCTCAGGCTCCTCTGCCGACATTAGACAATGGAGGGGGGGTAGTTAATGAGAGTGGGCATTCGGCCTTCCCCAGAGGAAAGCATTGACTCGTGGTGTTTTTAGAAGACACTGAACATCATCGTGCAAAGCATGAGGACATCTAGCATTGTTTCATGGAGTCAAACTCTGTGTAAGGCCAAGAAGTGCTCCTAATGGCTGTCTAAGGCAGTCTTAACCCTGGAACTGTGCATCTGCAGTGCTAAGGAGACAGGGACACCACATCAATGAGATAAAGTAGTCTGGGTGCCTATAGTGTCCCTTTAATAGATTTAGGTGGGTACGTTAATTTGATTATCTAGTTATATTAATTTGTATAATGTTTAATTGAATGGCAGTGTAATTGAATTGTATTCCTAATAAACGCATGCATACTTAGTACAGCAATACAATGCTCCCTGGCATAGCACAGGTGGGTGTGTACCTGCAATTTATCAGAGCTCAAAATGGACCCAGCTACGTAACATCTCCCAGTGGCCTGCTATTGCACAGATCCCTCTCTATGTTTCATTGCTGGTCTGCATAGGTTATTATTAGAGCGTCAGAGTGTGATATCATATCCTAGCAGCCTTTGTTCCTGAGAGTGCAGAACCATGTAAAAACAAAACAAAAAAAAAACAGTATACAAGAAAACGCTGGAGTTATAGGCATACCATCCAAGAAATACAAAGGTAGACTATGTACTAATGCACCTACTATTTCTGCTCAGTGATTGGCTTAGAGCAGGGGTTCCCAACCCAGTCCTCAGGTACCCCCTAACATTCCAGGATTTAGGGATTACCCTGTTGTGTCTAAGGTGTTTTTAGAAAGAAAGGGGGGAAAAAAAAACTTTAGACGCAACAGGGTAATCCCTAAATCCTGGACTGTTAGGGGGTACTTGAGGACTGGGTTGGGAACAACTGGTTTAGAGCATCCACTGATACTGTGAGCCTGTAATGTTACCTCTTGCTGCAGTGCAGGGAGGAAGGAAGTCAGGAGGCTAAAGTACCAGGTACCAAAGTCTCAATTTAGAGTTCAAACTGTTGCAATGTAAATCACTCCTGTCTCCATATCCACTTAAATGGGAGGAGCAGAATACTGTCCCTGTAAATATGACATGTCACTAGAAAGCCATGGAATGGCACCAGGACGGCAGTGAAAGCTACTTCAGATGTTTTAGGGCTTTTGCAAGCAATCGTTGGTCATTAGATCTGGTCACATATAGTAACGGCATTTCAGCACTGAAACAGTCAACAAGCTGGTTTGGAAGAAATCAACATCACATAACTAATGCCATGCTATAATAGAGGGGTCCTCAAACTCCGGCCCCCCAGATGTTGCTGAACTACAACTCCCATGATTCTCTCGCTATCTATGTAATTCAAAGAATCATGGGAGTTGTAGTTCAGCAACATCTGGAGGTCCACAGTTTGAGGACCCCTGCTTTAATATTTATTCTACATTTCGCATTTCATACCGTATTATAGTATTGATTTATTTTTGTTCTAATTATGTCTGCATTAAAATAAGCAAGGCTAATATATTTTTTGTTTGCTGTATTCAGTAAAAGCACAATGGGTAAACAAAACAGTCCCTAGAAAACTACACACAAACACACAAAAAACATTTCTTCATATTCTTTACTACAACAACAACAACAAAAAGTTATGGTGGAATGGTTTTATTCATTTTCTCCTAACGGAAGCTCTTTTTTTATCTCTTAGATGACGTTTTGGAAGAAATACACATCTAAGGATTTAACCTCAAGTAAAGGTAAGTGATACAAATACAGTATTGATGCTCCCCCCGCCTAAAAAGGATTTCCTTGCACAAATCATGCTGCCTTGCGGTCGCCTGCTCCCCATCAGTTCCTCTATTTTCTGCTGTGTGGTGGTAATCAACAAAGTGTCGTGACAGTTAAGATTAAGAATCTCAACTGTGACTTAATAATATTATTATATTTTATTTTTAACACACAAATATACTAATTAATTTGTTGTGTCACTTAGCCGCACAGCCAGGAAGGGAAAATGCTGTAAATTAATAGATATGTTTCTTCCTTGTCTTCTCGGGTAGCACTTGAGATTGATGTGGTTGGACTTCTCACGGGACTCATATCTGCTGGGACATTATTGGTGATCATTGGACTTGTTGTCTATTACGTGTACTCAATGCGCTGTCACCCAAGGAGACACATTAATGTGTAAGTAAAAATATTATGGGAGAGTGATAGATGCAGTAATGCATAGCAAATTAAAGTCAGACAAGAAAACATTAAAAGGGAAGTAACTTCTCTATTGTTTGCAAATGATATAAAAGAAATAGTAATTGTTGTATATGTGCACCCCCCTCCTATGTAAATGGACCAGTCCCTCAGGGGCAGAGTACTTGTGTGCCTACTTCTTATTCATGTAGCATAAGTCCGGCTTCTAAAGGGACACTATAGTCACAAAATAACTTTAGCTTAATAAAGCAGTTTTTGTGAACAGATTATGCCTCTGAAGTTTCACTGCTCATTTCACTGCCACTGGTGACTCTGTCAGTCGGCACACACGCACTAAAAAATCGCAGAGGCCCTAGCTACATGTCGGGAAACCTAATGAGAGCGACAAGATTTGAGAAGGAGGGGAAGAGGAGTTCCCAGAACAGGCACACACAGCAAGTAAACCCTACTGCAAACTAACCTACATAAGCAATAATAAAATACAATTAAGAAAGGTCGCCATCAACTCGTGACAAGCCTGGCATCTCAAGCCCGGGGGACCTGGACTGCTAGGGAGTATATGAAGACCAGGACTGCCATCAGGAGGTACAGACAATGCACCTGTAAATGGCCCGGCCACCATACTATAAATGTCTATATGTAGTTAATTTGTTTCCGTTGTCATTCCTGGGTGTACTCATCAATATATGTACTCAGTAATCATGTTCTGTGTCAGTATGGATGAGTGAAGAGTAAATAAGTGACATGTTTATGTTACATATACTGGGCATTAACACCTTATTGGTTAGTCACAGTTCTATGGGCCACCTTAGGGTCTTGATACACCTTGATGACTCAATTAAAGAATCCATAAAGTCTGACTTTAGTATCTCCCCAGATCTTCCAAAGAAATATACAAACCCAGGGGAAATTCTCTAAAATATTCACATTTACATTAGCCAAGTGAAGTAAAGTCATCAATTTTATCGACTTCCCCCTCTTGCCCCCCAGACAAGGTCCATACTGATTGTATCGCACAAATCCTCATTTCCTGTAACATGGTGAAAAACAAAATATCAAACTTCTATCTCTGTAGGAGTGTAATCGTTTTGCCTATGGGACAAAGTTTATTTGCGCAATCATACCTCTAATAGTATATTGTCTGACATGTTACTATGACTATTTGATATTTTACTCCCCAATATTATTCTAATACGTGAATTTTAGGGCACCTGATAGGGTTAAAAAAAAAATAATAATTTTTATTTAGGCTCATTACCCGAGTTATTTTAAAAAGCTCTAGAGTTTGTAATTAACATGAAAAAATTACTTGTAGCGGCGAAAGGGTCAAGGTTCCCATACAGTAAACATGTAACTTGCATGCCCCCACAATGCACTGTGTGACTATTTAATGTATTCTGGGTATGTCAGATGAATACGAGGCAGATTGTCTACATTCTATCTATAAACCAAATTTGATCACACCTCTCTATTAGAGGCAGATGCTTACGGACTATTGTAGAAACCTTTGAGGGTTGAAATTGAAAAGAGACAATCGGAAAATGTTTCACTAACTATGAAATGTTCCAACTTGCTAAAACCAACATGAAACTGGTTAAATGAATATGTTTTTATTAAATATGGAATATTATTGTTCTGTATAGATCAGAAGATACCTGCGAATGTAGACGTATTTCACACGTGGCAAGCGGCACAGAGGAAGAGCATCCATTACAGCCCATCTACCTGCCTTCCGTGGAGCTAGGTCCACCACCGTACGACCAAGCAGTGATTCCCCTATGTGATTTACCGCCACCACCCTATCCAGGGTCTGAGATAGATGCAAAAGTCTACAGAAAGTCCTACTCAATTCCTGCGTCTCAGGAATTTTAACTCCTCAGTGGGGATTCATGAAATCATGGGAGATAATTATTCCTTATTTTACAAGGAGAAAGCAATCCCTTTAACAGAGCCATGTACTAAAGGGAACAAGAGGGTGTATATGGTAAACATACCTGATTGCCAGTGGAAACTTTGCCAAGTGGACCTTATCTTCCAACAATGTCACTCTATGTGGATGTTCTAGCATGGCCTGTCTATGGTCACAAGTTAATTTGCTGATGAATTCGGTGACATGGATCGTGACCTATCGTGAAACCAACGAGTGTAAGAGATATTGGGCTGCTATTTCGTTTGTAAAAGTGGTGCACTCTAACTGTGGTTGGAATAGGATTCTAGAGCATGATGGATCCCAGAAATCTAAACACAGTAATTTATCTTAAAGAGAGAGAGAGAATTTGACGCATAAAGCGATTTTGGTTATAATGATTATTTTTTTTATAATTATGGGCATATTAACTATACCATAAGTTAGGCAGTTTTATACCACTAAGAATGTAACCGTTCTAAGGAGTAGTATATTTATTGTTAGTGTAGCACAACCCTTACGCCTTTTTACATGACGTAACTGACCACACGCAACGTACTGCACCCAAAATGCACAGGCTGCATTCTGATATGTAAAGGATAATGCTACTTGTAGGGAAGTGTGCTCTTAGATAAATATTGCTGATGATGTTCTTTGGAATGATAAATAAATCACAGCTATGGTGTTTATTCACTGTGTCTTGAGCTGACAAACGTTTAAAATTAGCCAAGTTGGAAAAATCTCCTACATTTATTTATTTCAGCTCTGCTGTTTTGGACGGTATTTTACAAGTATGTTGCCAACTAGCTTCAGTTCACAGTTTAATGAATAATCCATTTAATACAGACAAATAGTTACTTTGCCATCTAACTGCAACCTAAATCATGTGCAAATTGATTGACAAGTGCATAAAGACGACGACATTAGCTGCGGAATCTAAACAAGAATTAAAAACAAACTTTAAAAAGTAGTACAATTATTGATTGTAAAATTGCTGCAGTTCTAAGCCACCCACAGAACTGAGAGTTGGCTCAGGATGCTTTACGCAGTATCACCTTAATACTACAAAGTGGTGATGGTGCTTATGTGACCCTTTATTAAACATTTAAAGAAAATGAATTGCATTACATTTGAAAAAAATTAATTTCTAGTGATTTTCGCTATTTTAATAGTGTAATTTCCTGAAAAGTATTAGTTCCTCTGTACACACACCCCAACCTGCAGGCTTTGGTGTAACTGTAAGGGAATCTCACGATGATTATAAAAAGCTAATGCACGTCTATTATTAACTTCAGATAGCTGCAATTGTCTTCTAATTTAGCAGAGTACAGACTGAAGGAAAATCCTCCTTTAAATACTATACATTGTTCTAAAACTGTTCTGTGTGATCTAATCCATCCAGCTCAATATTTGTCAGACTTCTATTGAGAAAGTAGGACGACTTACTGATCTGGAATGTTTTTGTCCTTAAATGCACGACAAGCAGAGGCTTGCAGCTCAACCAGAACCATGAGAATTATTTTCAGGCTAATCAATCATAAAAAAAAGACCAAAAAAACATCATTGAGCATTTGTGGATAAATACAAGTGTGTATGTATGTCTTATTCTGTGACAGCTAGATTAACCCCTTAACTTCCAAGTGGTAGCATACCACCGTCCATTGAGTGGGTCTCCAAATGAAGGTATGTGGAAAGAAAAGATATATCTCTGATCACTGTCAGAGATATTCACTCAGGTTAGCATTGTGCATTACAAATGCAAAAAAAAGAATTAAAAATGATTTTTCAGTTTTAGGCCACACTTTGTCTATGAGTAAGTCCGATCAGGTAATTACTGTGTCAGGTGTACAGATGTGTTCTTGCTGAAGTGTCTTCAATAAAGTTGGCTTTTTTTTTCTTACCTTCATTGTTTGAGTGCTGGGATTCTTTCACGTTTTCTCTTGATTTAGCTGAACTGTAAATGTTCTCCAAGCTAGCTGTGTTTTCAATTCTGAAATTCACTGTGAATACTGAACAATTCACACGTTACTGTACAACCCTAGCGGTTTCTTTCCTGTGAGATGGGCCATTCTAATAAACTAAAGGGGAACTTAACCTCTATAGTTTGTGTTAGTCCAACACTCTCAGCCAGTGACGTCCATTTTGAATGTAACTAGAACTGATAATACAAAGTGTCAATTCTATATTATCTATGTGATTGATATGGTAGATGGGTCCCTGACACTCTGGTCAGCATACCTGCAGCTGTGTCATGCTACCATATCATGATTCTGATGTTAACAGCAGAATGTCAGTTCAACATTTCTACTTTCTAGTGGGTCTGCAGTCAAGAGCCCTGCTTTTTGCTGGATTAGTCTAAAACATGTTTCCGTTATGAACTGGACCAATGGCTGTACCTATGTTGCTCTACACCAGTGGTTACCAATCCAGTCCTCAAGTACCCCCTACCATTCCAGGATATAAGGATTACTCAATTGTGTAAAATAGGTTTTTTGGGGAAAAAAACAAAAAACACTTTAGACACAACAGGGTAATCCCTAACTCCTGGACTGGTAGGGGGTACTTGAGGACTGAGTTGGGGACCCCTGCTCTACACCATGCCATCTTAAAGGAACACTTCAAGCCCCAAAACCACTGCAGCCTTTTGTAGTGGTTATATGCTTGGAGTGGCCTGGGACCCTCCCAGAATAAGTAGTCAAAACATTTAAGAACGGTTGATAACCTACCTGAGTGCCTGTGGCCACACTGCCTGCATCTGGACGCTCTTGCAAGGAGACTTCGATTAGCTCCACTTAGTTAAAATGGTTCACTGTTATCTGAACGTGCCAGCTGAGTGCTTTAAGTCAGGGAGCACAAGCCTGTATTGGGCTGTTCTTAACTCGGGTAAGACTGGATATTGAGCAGCCTGTAGTGGTTATAGTGCTTGGAGTGGTCTTTAAAATGTGTTCTTTTGAAAATTTGCAAATGCTGTTAGCTGCCCTGATTTGTTACAGCAAAATGCAAAAAAAATTCTATAATTAGCTCAAATATCAGAGAAAGGCAAAACTTGGTGAATACAAATGTGAAAAAGTGACAAGATGGAGCACTAAAAATGTGCACGTGCAAATGTCCTTACCCTTAATAAAATGGTATGTCAAAGGTGTACATCAAATACATAAAAGAAGGAAACAGAAACAAATATATAGTGCAGATGGTAATGCACATGGAACTTGAAGTAATAAATTATAAGGCTCCACTTACATGGATCAGATACTGTAACATCTGGCTCTGTAATCAACACCTTTATGGTATCATACCACCGTCCATCGAACAGGTCTCCAAATGTAGGTATGTGGAAAGAAAAGAAAGAATTCCAATGGTACAGTTATGGTACATGTATTAGACTTCCATATATGAATTGTTTAAATAGTTTTTAAGCTCACCTTGCTCAGAGCCCAGGCTCTGGGATTGTATACCACTTGTCTAATTAAAGGGCTGGCAAGAGCTCAAACGAATCCCTTCTGGAGCTGAGGACCATAAACTATGCTAAGTTGATTATACAAGGTTTATTTACCAAAATGTAATTAAAATAATTATATAAAACAAATATAATTAAAAGCAGTCCTTGTCATCAAATGCCAAATCGCATATCACTCGGTTGAGAGTCCTCAGTTGGCTGTATGTGTACGTAGCTCCAGAAGTTGTCAGTTTTTGAATGCTGCTCTCAAATGAAGTTTTTGGTCACATGATGGTGTTGCAACCGATCGCCATAACGGTCTTGATACCGATTTATTAAGGGTAAGAACTTTGTCACTGTTCACTTTTGTATTCTTATCTGTGTGTGGGTATTCCAACATTTAAGTGTTTTGAGCTGCTATTCACTTTTAGAATGTTAAGCTCTAGAATGTTAAGCACACGAATTTTACTCGAAAACTTGGTCAATGGTTATTTAATACGTGCAATCTAAGAGATAGATAATTAAAGGGACACTATTGGTCTGGGTGCAGTGTCCCTGTCCTTTTAACCCTGCAATGTCAAACGTTGCAGTTTTTGAGAAACTCTTTGAGGAGCATTGGAATGGACTTTGATGGAGGAGGCAATGCCAACTCCATGACGTTGCGGGAGGCAGAGAGGTGAGCAGCGCCCAGGGAGCCTCGGAGCTGGAAAAAGGTAAGTAAATATTTTCTAATTTAAAATGTTATTGAACCTACTAGGGGAACCTGAATAAGTAGGGACAGGAAGTACAATACAGATTTAGGCAGAGATAAGTGTGACAATTACTAGCAAGGCAATTTTTATTTCTATAGGTTATTATCCCATTAGGCTGTCAGATTTTTATGTATGAGATGGAGTGATTGACACCCTTCCTCCCCGTTAAACATTTCCAGTGGTAGGAGGAGTTAGTGTAAAAAAAGGCATTGTATCCAGACAATCACAAAACAGTATAGCATGGGGTGGACTTAACCCTGCAATGCAAAAATTCTCAAAAACTGCAATGTTTTACATTTGAAGGGCTAGAAGGACACTGCACCCAGATCACTGAATTCATATTAAAAAATTTAAACTCTCCAGCCATTTGATTGTTTTTGGTTTTTTTGGACTATATATGTAGGACTTTGTGGTATGAAGGTCTGTAGGTTTAGAACTAGGAAACTGGTCTTAAAGGACCACTATAGGCACCCCGACCACTTCAGCTCAATGAAGTGGTCTGGGTGCCAGGTCCATCTAGGGTTAACCCTTTCTGCTGTAAACATAGCAGTAGAGAAACTGCTATGTTTACAAATGGGTTAATGCAGCCTCTAGTGGCTGTCTCATTGTGGGTTAATGCAGCCTCTAGTGGCTTCTCACTGTGTTTTTCACTGGCTGAATGCGCGGGCGGCTCTTGCCACACATGCGCATTCAGCCGATGACGGCAGAAGAAGGATGAGATTCCCCAGCGCCAAGGGAGCCTGGCGCTTCAAAAAGGTAGGAATTTAACCCCTACCTCTCCCTAGGGCCCGGCGGGAGGGGGACCCAAGGACCCTAAAGAGCCAGGAAAACAAGTATGTTTTCCTGGCACTATAGTGGTCTTTTAACCAAGTCTTGATTGTAAGCCATCCTTTCATAGCGCTCTAACTAAAATTGCATAAGGGCTCCTATGCTATGCAAGCCTATTCTGCGCAATTCTACTTACTGTCAGGGCCGTCTTTAACGCGGGGCAAACGGGGCAGCTGCCCCGGGCCCAGTTTCTCTTGGGGGGCCCGAGGCACCTGCCCCGTGGGCCCCGCTGCCCTCATCAATTTATTTTTTTCCCCATCCTGAGTCCCACCGGGTGGCCCATGCACTTAGGGCAGTGGCGTACATACCAGGGTCGCGGCTGCGACCCTGGTATGCACCCACAGGGCCAGCGTCTTCCCCTGGGGGGCCCAGGAGGCGGCCACCTCAGGGCCCCCCGAGGCTGGCCCTGCTGACCCCGGCGGGCGGGTGGCCGGTCGGGCAGGAAGGCGGGCGCGCGAGGGAGCACTCAGTGCTTCCTCTTCAGCTCCCTCGCGCACCGCACTGATGCCGGAGCCGGAAGATGGCGTCATCTTCCGGCGCCCGGCATCCCTACGCGGCGCGCGAGGGAGCTGAAGAGGAAGCAGTGAGTGCTCCCTCGCGCGCCCGCCTTCCTGCCCGACCAGCCACCCGCCCAGGAGCCCAGCAGCACCACTGGACCCCAGGGAATCCCCCCAGCACTCCAAAAGGTAAGGAGGCTGGGGGGATTACATTTAAAAAAAAAATGTGTGTTGTGTGTGTATGTGTGTGTTGTGTGTTAGTGTGTGTGTTTGTGTATGTGTGTGTTAGTGTATGTGTTTGTGTGTATGTGTGTGTTTGTGTGTGTATGTGTGTGTGTGTGTTAGTGTATGTGTGTGTTAGTGTGTGTTTGTGTGTTAGTGTGTGTGTGTATGTGTGTGTGTATGTGTGTTAGTGTATGTGTATGTGTGTGTGTTTGTGTGTTAGTGTATGTGTGTTAGTGTGTGTGTTTGTGTGTTAGTGTATGTGTGTGTTAGTGTATGTGTGTGTGTGTGTGTCAGTGTCTGTGTGTGTGTGCATGTCTGTGTGTGTGTGTGTGTGTCAGTATGTCTGTCTGTCTGTGTGTCAGTATATATGTGTGTGTATATCTGTGTGTGTCAGTATGTGTATGTGTCAGTATGTCTGTCAGTGCGTCAGTATGTCTGTTAGTGCTTGTGTATGCATGTCTCAGTATATCTGTCTGTGTGCCAGTATGTCTGTGTGTGTGTGTGTCAGTATATCAGTCTGTGTGTGTCAGTGTATGTGCCTGTGTGTGTGTGTCAGTATTTCTCAGTGTATGTGGGTGTCAGTATATCTGTCAGTGTGTGGGTGTCAGTATTTCTGTCAGTGTATGTGTGTCAGTATGTTGATCAGTGTATGTGTCTGTGTGTGTGTGTCAGTATGTCGGTATATGTGTCTGTGTGTCAGTATGTCTGTATATGTGCCTGTGTCAGTATGTCTGTCAGTACGTCTACCAGTGTATGTGTCTGTGTGTGTGTCAATATATGTACCTGTGTCAGTGTGTCTGTCAGTGTATGTGCCTGTTTATCTGTATGTAGTCAGTGTATGTATCTGTGTATCTGCTTGTGCGTCAGAGTGTGTACCTGTGCATCTGAGCCGCAACTTTAAATACAAATACACCCCTCCATTCAAACTTCAACACTACATATAAAACACACTCCTGCATTGAAACGTCAACACTACATACTGTAACGATACCTTACCTGGGTCCGCCGATCCCGCGCGGCACGACAGTTTCCCCGGCTACTTCCGGGAGGCGGCGCAGCCTCTCGGACGCTGCCCGCTCGCGGCAAAATCCGTTTTATGACGCGGCGCATGCACGCCGACGTCATAATGATTTTGCCGTGAAAATTCAAACACGGCCACGCTCCCGAACCTTTTGGGGGCGTGGCTTTAAAGTGACACACACACATTAGTATAAAAGGGCATTCCTGTCCACCCCTCAGTGCCCTAGTGTGGTTCTTGATTGTTCCCCTAGTGCTCTTTTACTGTTTAGCTGTTTTTCTGGTATTTTGACTCTTGGCTTTTGTTCTGACTATTCTCCTATCTGGCTCCCTGACTTTTGGCTTGGCTTTCTCGTATATCCCAATTTCCGTACTCCCTTGACCCTCGGCTTTTTCTTGACTATTCTTTGACGTTAAGTCCGGCCACCCTAAGGTCCGGTATACGTCCCTTTCAGGGTTACCATCTGTGTGAAGGGGTCACTATCGTGACATTACACTAGGGCCATGGACCCTGCAGGTGCTAATCCTAATGGCCCGGTTCCTGATAATCGGTTTGAGGAGCTGGACCATCGTATGGACCAGTTTGCTGTAGCCGTTCAGACCCTGTTAGCTCGGACTGCACATCTACAGTCAGAGGACCATATCCTGGGTCTTAGACCCCAGGAACCTCATTTGGAGATGGCGGCAGGGGGAGCTTCTGCCCATGCCGCATCCCCTCTCCGTTATGGAGGTGATCCCAAGGGTTGTCGGGGTTTCCTCAATCAAATAAGTATTAACTTTGAACTTCATCCTAGGGCGTATCCTACCGATAGAGCAAAGATTGGTTATATTATAACATTGTTAGTCGACAGAGCACTAGTTTGGGCCAATCCATTGTGGGAAAACGACAATCCCATAGTTTTCAACTACGCAGAGTTTGTCGCAGCCTTTAGAAGAACATTTGATCCCCCTGGAAGACGTACCAATGCTGCTAAAACCCTATTACGAATGAGACAAGGGTCTCGTTCCCTTGTGGACTATGCCCTAGAATTTCGCACTCATGCTGCAGAGGTCAGATGGAATGAGCAGGCCTTTGTAGATGTGTTTATGAACGGACTTTCTGACAAACTTTTAGATGAGGTAGCCACCCGAGACCTCCCTAATGTGTTGGAAGAATTAATTACATATCTAGCACATATAGACGAACGTCTCCGACATAGACAAAACACCAGGGATAGACCTAGGCGTATGCCGGAACGCCTGGCATTAACGTTTCCTTCATCTGAGGAAACCACTGTCGCTCCAGCAGAACCCATGCAACTGGGAGCCACACGGTTGTCTGAACCTGAGAGACAATATAGACGAAGGGAGGGACTTTGTATGTATTGTGGGAAAAGAGGACATACCCGCCTACACTGCCCAAGCCGGCCGGAAAACTCCAACGCCTAAGCCCTCAAGGAGGACAGGCCTTGGGTGTAACGTGTATGTCCTCCTTCCAAGATAGGAAAGAACTCAGGCTTCTTCTACCGATAACTATAGAATGGGAGAGAAGGTTAATAACTACTTCTGCGCTAATAGACTCTGGGGCAGCTGAGAACTTTATTGACCGTACTTTCGGCCAACATCACAACCTCCCATTTCGAGAAAGATCAACACCCTTGGCCGTTGAGGCCATAGATGGTAGACCATTATCCATTCCTTTTATTACTCAAGAATCCAAACCCTTAGTCTTGACTGTAGGTTCGTTGCATAAAGAAACCATAATCCTACAGCAAATACCTTCTCCCACCTTTCCGATTATACTTGGGTTTCCTTGGCTTACCAAGCATAATCCTCTAATTAACTGGGAGAGGAAAGAGATAGTAAAATGGGGTGATTCTTGTTTTAAGGAGTGTATCAGTCGAGTTAAACCTATAGGACTCCTCAACGTTCCTACCATGGAACCATTAACCACTCAAGTACCCGAACCATATCGGGATCTCAAGGCAGTCTTTGAACAAAGGGAAGCAAACAAATTACCACCCCATCGTTCTTATGACTGCACTATTGATTTGTTGCCTGGTACTATGCCCCCTAGGGGTACCGTGTATCCCCTCTCTGTGACAGAAAACAAAGTACTTGAAGAGTACATCACAGAGAATTTGAAGAAGGGTTTTATTACCAAATCATCCTCCCCGGCTGGTGCAGGGTTTTTTTTGTTTCCAAAAAGGAAGGTGACCTGAGACCCTGCATCGATTATCGGGGATTAAATAAAATAACAATACGAAATGCGTGTCCTACTCCGCTCATTACTGAGCTTTTTGATAGGTTAAAGGGTGCTACCATATTCACTAAGCTAGACTTACGGGGAGCTTATAATCTAGTTCGTATTAAGAAGGGACATGAGTGGAAAACGGCCTTCAATACTCGCTATGGCCATTATCAATATAGGGTTATGCCCTTCGGTTTATGCAACGCTCCGGCAGTCTTTCAAGATTTCATAAACGATGTATTAAGGGACTATCTACAAATGTTTGTTGTTGTTTATTTAGATGACATACTCATCTACTCTAAGAATATCAAGGAGCACCATAGACACGTTAGAATAGTGTTATCCAAATTATTAAAGAACGGACTCTACTGTAAATTAGAAAAATGTTTATTTGACGTGGAGAAGGTTAATTTCTTGGGTTACATAATTTCCGGTTCCGGCTTTCAAATGGAACCTAAAAAACTAGAAGCAATTTTAAATTGGCCCCTACCCATTGGACTTAAAGCCATCCAACGTTTCCTGGGGTTTGCTAATTACTATAGAAAGTTTATCAGAGGATTTTCCTCTATTACCGCTCCTATTACCGCTATGACAAAAAAGAATAGAAGTCATACGGTGTGGAGTACTGAAGCTAAGGAAGCCTTTGAAAAATTGAAGCTAGCCTTTTCTTCAGCCCCGGTGTTAAGTCACCCTAATCCTTTGCGTCCTTTTTTGCTAGAAGTGGATGCTTCTGAGACAGGGATAGGGGCTGTACTCTCTCAGAGATCCTCGAATGATCAACCCCTGCATCCCTGTGGCTATTTTTCTAAAAAACTGACGGAAACAGAACGAAGATACGATATAGGTGATAGGGAATTGTTGGCTATCATTTCAGCACTCAAAGAATGGCGGCATCTATTAGAGGGGACATCTGAACCGATCATCTTCACTGATCACAAGAACCTCTCCTATTTTGGAGAAGCTAAAAGAATGACTGACAGGCAGATTCGTTGGTCTTTGTTCCTAACACGTTTTAATTACTTAGTGACATACAGACCCGGTTCTAAGAATACAAAAGCAGATGCCTTATCTCGGCAACATGAGCACATATCTCCACCAGTAACCCATTTATCTTCTATAATCCCTACTTCACAAATAGTGGCCACAGTACGTACTAAAATCTCTTCTAGCTTAATAGAAGTATTGTCTAAATGTCAAAACCACAATTCCCTGACTATCCCTCAGGGGAAATTATACGTACCCTTCAATTATAGAAGACGAATCCTGTCCTTGGTACACGACTCTAAGATTGCCGGTCATCCCGGTATCCATAAAACAGAAGCACTACTCGAAAAGCAATTCTGGTGGCCTTCTTACAAGAAGGACATTCGAGAATATGTCCTGGCCTGTAACATTTGTTCCTCTAGTAAGTCTCCTAAAAGTCATCCTTTAGGCCTCCTCATGCCGTTACCTATTCCCGAAATGCCCTGGTCAAGTATCGCCATGGATTTCATAGTAGACCTGCCACCTTCAAAAAATCACCGGGTGATTCTAACTATCATCGATAGATTTTCCAAAATGACCCACCTAGTCCCTTTAATTAAACTTCCTTCATCCTCAGAACTGGCCACGATATTCATAAGGGAGGTGGTTCGTTTACATGGTATCCCTACAGACATAGTCTCTGACAGAGGCTCACAGTTTGTTTCCAGGTTTTGGAAGGCGTTTTGTGTTCAGTTAGGTATCAAACTTAACCACTCCTCTTCGTACCATCCCCAATCCAATGGAGTTACTGAGAGAATGAATCAGTCACTAGAACAGTACCTTCGTTGCTTCATCTCCGATCACCAAGATGATTGGAAGGAGTTACTCCCTTGGGCTGAATTCGCCCACAATAACTGGGTTCACGAATCGACACAACATAGCCCCTTTTTTATAAATTATGGCTTTGACCCTACTACTCTTCCGAGTTCCTTTTCATCCTCCGCAGTGCCAAGTGTTGACTATACTGTGAGGAATATGAAAGAAACTTGGTTAGGGGTCAAGCGTATCCTGACTCATAAGGCCGATGCTCAAAAAAGCAAAGCGGACACCCGGCGCAAGAATGCTGCGAATTTTATAGTGGGAGATAGAGTGTGGTTGAGTACACGCAATATTAAATTACGAGTCCCCTCTATGAAATTTGCTCCGCGATTCATTGGTCCTTTTAGGATCCTCCAACGGATTAATCCAGTCTGTTATCGCCTGGATTTACCAGCTAATATGAAGATACCCAATTCCTTTCATGTTTCTCTTCTGAAACCTTTGATTTGTAATCGCTTTACTCGTAAACCCAGGTCTCCTCGTTCTACTCTCATTGATGACCAGGGCTGCCATCAGAAATGTTGGGGCCCCTGACAAAGTTCAAGGTCTGGGCCCCCAGTGCCCACTCACGAGTCCGCCCACAGGGCCATCCTTGAATCTGCCAACAAAGATGCATTATGTGTGTAGAGTGAATGCAGAGTCTGTGTGTGTAGTCAATGCAGTGTGCGTTTAGTGGATGCAGTGTGTGTAAAGTGGCCAAATTAGATCTGAATCTGTTGTAAGTCCCAGAATGCTTTGCTAGCTATGGATCTATAATTTGCAGGGCTGTATTTAGCACACAGCAGTGTATGTGTGTTTGAATATAAACATGGTTTTGAATGGAGTATGTGTGTATTTGAATGTTGGTGTTTGAATGCAAGCGTGCATATGTCTGTAGTATATAAACACACACACGCACACACACACCCTGACATACATGCAAATACACAGTTACACATATTGGCACATAGTTACACACACACACATACACTCAGGTTCACACTGACACAGATACATAGACATACACACATATACACAGACACACTCAGGTGCAAACTGACACACAGATACAGACACATACACACACTGATACACACATAGGAGATACAGGCACATGCATTGACATACATGAAAATATACAGACACAGTTACACACACATACATTCACGTGCACACTAACACCCAGATACAGACACACAGATACACACACAGGTACACACTCAGGTGCAATCTGGCACCCAAATATACACAGACACACACATAGATACACACACATGCACTCTGATACATACACACACACACATAGGACACATACAGACACACACTGACATACATGTAAATACACAGACACACAGATATACACACTGAAAGATACAGACACACACACACACACTCAGGTGCACATTGACAGATACATACAGACACACAAACAGATACACATAAAAACAAAATATAAATAAAATATATGTGTAAAAATGTAGAGAAACAATAATAAAGTAATCAATTCTATGGGCAGATTCACACCAAATAAACACAGCTTTAGTTGAGAATCTCAGAAAAAAAAAGAAAGCGTGAGCGCTCCAGATAGATATATATAATAAAAAAAAAAATTTTTTAAATGTATTGCACTAATTAAACAACACACTTTAAAAAAATAAATGCAAACGACAGAAAATGGGCCATGCACATAAAATATAAGACAGGTTATGCAAGATAAAAAAGTACACAACATGGGCAGTCTGTATATAAAGAGCAAAAAGCCAGGACAGGCAGCGTCAAATAGAAAAGATATACATTACAACAAAGTTATCAAAACAAACTAACAATCTGATTAAACATTTAAATAGAACCCCAACTAAAACTAAAATAAATGGGGCATATCAACTAAGTAGTGAAATTTATTGTGGACAAAAAGTGTACATAAAAATCAAATACAGTCACTAGAAAACCATGATCATAAAAGTTGCAGCACTGCTATAAAAAAAAAAAAATAATCAAAGAATAAAACAATAACATACACTCAGGTGCACACTGCCAACCAGATACAAACAAACACATAGATACACACAATGATACATCCACAGATACAGACAGACACACACACTCAGGTACACATACATACTGACATACTGACACACTTTTTTAACCACCCTCCTGGTTCTTACCTGCAGGAGGGTGGACTCTGCTGGCTGGGGATGATGTGGGTGTGAGTCTGACTCTGTCCTCCTCTTCACACTCGCCAGTGCTTCCTCCCACCCTCATGGTTCTTACCTTTAGAATGCAGGAGGGTGGACTCTGCTTGCTGGGGCTGATGCTAATGTGGATGTGGGTCTGACTCTGTCCTCCTCTCCTCTTCACACTCCCCGGTGCTTCCTCCCGCGCGGGTGTTAGCTGGGAGGAAATGAGCTCACTTCATCCCAGCCCTGCCAGGATCCTTAAAGGGGCCCAGACTAGCTATTAAAAATCCACAGCACTGATCGGGCCCCTTTAGAGATATGCCCATCGGGTGGTCCTAAGTGCATGGGCCACCTGATGGGCCCCCTCAGATAGTTATGCCACTGCCAAAACACATACATATAGCGATAAACGCTATATATATGTATGCACATTGGGAATGGGGGGCCTGGGTGCCTGGGCCCCCCAGGACCGCCGGGCCCATGACAACAGTCATGGTTGTCACCCCCTGATGGCGGCCCTGTTGATGACCAAAACGAATACGAGGTTAGATCTATTTTAGACTCTCGTATCTCTAGAGGTCGGCTCCAGTATCTGTTGGATTGGAAGGGGTACGGTCCCGAGGAAAGGTCATGGGTGCACGCGCCTCGCCTAGTCCGTTCCTTTGTTAGGCGTCGTTCTCGCGGACCCTGTCCTGCCCGCCCTGGGGGCGGTCCTCGAGGGGGGGGTACTGTAACGATACCTTACCTGGGTCGGCCGATCCCGCGCGGCACGACAGTTTCCCCGGCTACTTCCGGGAGGCGGCGGAGCCTCTCGGACGCTGCCCGCTCGCGGCAAAATCCGTTTTATGACGCGGCGCATGCGCGCCGACGTCATAATGATTTTGCCGCGAAAATTCAAACACGGCCACGCTCCCGAACCTTTTGGGGGCGTGGCTTTAAAGTGACACACACACATTAGTATAAAAGGGCATTCCTGTCCACCCCTCAGTGCCCTAGTGTGGTTCTTGATTGTTCCCCTAGTGCTCTTTTACTGTTTAGCTGTTTTTCTGGTATTTTGACTCTTGGCTTTCGTTCTGACTATTCTCCTATCTGGCTCCCTGACTTTTGGCTTGGCTTTCTCGTATATCCCGATTTCCGTACTCCCTTGACCCTCGGCTTTTTCTTGACTATTCTTTGACGTTAAGTCCGGCCACCCTAAGGTCCGGTATACGTCCCTTTCAGGGTTACCATCTGTGTGAAGGGGTCACTATCGTGACACATACAAGCACACTCCTACATTCAAAAACAAACACTACACATAAATGCACACTTGCATTCAAACTCCAGTACCACATACAAACACATTCACACAAACATACTCCATACAAACACATGCTTACATTCAAACATACAAACATGGCTCAGTGCTAAATACAACCCTGCAAGCATGGGAAATTGGTAGAGTCCCAGCTGTCAAAGCATTGTTGGAGTTGCACGACAGATGGGGTTCTACCTTTAGTCCAACCTTGCAATTGGGGGTCCCAATAAAATTCATTCTACTTTAGTACCGCCACTGCGTTGGGATGGATGCCGTGATTGCATACCAGGGAGTGAGGGGCGAGAGCGGCAGGGCACAGGGGGCCCAAGCAAACACTTGCCCAGGGTCCATTCGTTATTAAAGACGGCCCTGCTTACTGTGGATTTTTGTTTGGCTTTTTGTGCAGCTGAAAAAAGAAAGTTTAAGAATTAAAATGAAGCATTTTATGGTGAGTATAAACATTTTGCCAATTGTTCAAACCTGGGCGGTGGAGATTTCACATTTAATATCCCCACCAGCAACATGTCCACCACCCCATTCATCACTTTATAGCACCCATGTATTAGGTTCCCCACTTATCAATATTAGAGCCCACGTCTGCTGGCCATAGGTGGGATTTGGGGAGAAACTAGGTCCCCTCCCACTCATTAATATTAGAGCCTTCACCAGCCTCCCATGGGAAGGTGCTGAAGGGAAATTATGTCCCTCAGACTTATTATTAGAAGCTCGGACTTGCTGAGACTCTTTCCCTCCGATATTATTTAATTAGTACCCCACCATGGCAGCATAGAGGCACGGGGGGCGAGGGGTGAGGACACATTATCAACTCCAAATTCCAAATTATTTGGCCATTGCACATTTCACTTGCCTCAGTATAAGTCCATGTGGAGGCAGAAATGGCTCATTCCTCAATGCATGGTCTGACATATAAAACCTCCCTTCTACTCTGGTTGAGCTGTATGTTGATCCACAACAACATTTTTCAATTACAAAAATGTTGTTTGGAATAACCGAAAAAAATCGCACCATGCTCTTACTATTTACCAAATTTCTAAAACATACCTATCATTACTTGCAGAACTCCACCCCAAAGCCAAGACATGTAGAATACAGGTAATGGTGGTCACATGCAAGGAGTGGCCGGTACTTGCAGAAACTTTCTGAAGCTCCTTTGATGTTGCGGTTAGCCTCTTAGAAGCTTCAATAGTAAGATTTGTCCTCCTCTTCTCATCAGCATTGGAGGGTCAGCCTGATCTTTGCAATCCCTCTGTGGTACACCCAGTGCCTTCAATACTATTGCATTTCCTTCATCCTGATTGGTACTTTTGAACAATTAGCTTTCCCAATTTTTGGCAAATCTTTGAGGACCATGGCTCTTGTAGTATGATGCAACCACAGTCATTCAATCAAATCCTACAGCAACTGCTATCTTTAGTATGGTTTAATAATTGATGTTTTAATTACCTACAGGCTTGATTTAAAAATTTTTTTTTTTTTAACTGCAAACACAAGGGTGTGCAGATTTATGCAATCAGGGTGTTGTAATGTTTTTTCTTCTAGGATTGAATACTTAAGTGCGTTATCTAGAATGAAACAGGATGATACTGTAGTACTACTGGTGTCTTTGTCTTTAAAAGGTAACAGTCACTTCTCTGGAAATAATGCCATTGAATAAGGCATTAAGAATTACTAATAACATTTTTTTATTTTTTTTTAAGTGATGCTGTTTTCTTCTAAATATTTATTACAATATATAGCAATGAACGTCACAATCCATTTCAGACACAGCTATAGGCCAGTAACCCTTACTTTAGTAGTGGGGAAAGTAATGGAAACCATGTTGAAGGATAGGATTGTTGAACATCTAAAATCACATGGATTTCAAGATCAGAAACAACATGGGTTTACTTCAGGGAGATCATGCCAAACTAATCTTATTGATTTTTTTGATTGGGTAACTAAAATTATAGTCAAATTCTTGATGGTAAGCTGATAATAATAAGATATGTAACAGGGTTGATGTTCCAGGAGGGATAAGACAAATGGCAAATGATTTAGGTAAACTAGAAAAATGGTCAGAGTTGTGGCAGCTGACATTTAATGTGGATAAGTGCAAGATAATGCATCTTGGACGTAAAAACCCAAGGGCAGAGTACAGAATGTTTGATAGAGTCCTAACCTCAACATCTGAGGAAAGGGATTTAGGGGTGATTATTTCTGATGACTTAAAGATAGGCAGACAATGTAATAGAGCAGCAGGAAATGCTAGCAGAATGCTTGGTTGTGTAGGGAGAGGTATTGGCAGTAAAAAGAGAGAAGTGCTCACTGGTGAGACCTGTACGCAGTACTGGAGACCGTATCTTCAGAAGGATATTGATACCTTAGAGAGAGTTAAGAGAAGGGCTACTAAACTTGTTCATGGATTGCAGGATAAAACTTACCAGGAAAGGTTAAAGGATCTTAACATGTATAGCTTGGAGGAAAGACGAGACGGGGGATATGATAGAAACATTTAAATACATAAAGGGAATCAATACCTTAAAGGAGGAGACTATATTTATAAGAAGAAAAACTACCACAAAAAGAGGACATCATTTCAGGAAGTATTTGTCAGGGGAGGCTGCGGTCTCCCCTCCTCCTACCTGTCGGCGAGCGGCGTCTCCTCTCCGCTGCTCGCCGCTCGCGTCCTCCACGCCTCCCAGAGTAGCATGTATAACGCTGCGCGCTGGGAGGTCGCAAATTTATGCAAACGCCGGGTTCACTCACGTGACCCGGCGTTAAAGCAACAGTACCACAATCACAGTGGGAGGCGTAGATATCTCCCACGTGTGATTGTTAATTCTGATTGGATAACTCCAATTAAGCAAAGGGTATTTATACTTACCTTTCCTGTCTCTCAGTGCCCTGTTGTGGTCTTGTGATACCTGTAGTGCAGTTTTCTCGTGTTTCTCTCTTGTTACCGATTATTTGGCTCGTTATTCCGATTTTCCTGTATTCTCCACTCCTTTGACCTCAGCTTGTTTCTCGTTCTCCTGTTTTCTGGCTCCCTTTACTTGGCTTGTCTCCTGACTATTCTTAGTGTGCTTAGCCCGGCCACTCTAAGGACCGCTATAGCATCCTTCCTCTCTGTGTCCTGTTAACGTGTTAGCACTTTTTTTTGAGCAGGAACGCTGTTCCTGCAGGCACTCATCACCCCCTGTCTCACCTCTTGCCCCTGTCATGGTGGGGGGCAAGAGGTGATGGATCCCCCCCTCTCTGCATCTCAGCCGCGGCGAGGGAG